GCACTTTTGGTTATTCCAAACTTTTTTTTGATTGAAGTTTGACATAAAATTATCGGAATATTTAAAGTATAGTAATAAGGTTATTAGTGAAAGCTTGTGTGTAATTAAACTACATTAAAAAGCTAGTAACGTAGTTGTTAACGACGTCAACAAACTATATTCCCATCCCATCTGAATTCGTGAGCACTAGTGATGTACGGAATCGATAATTTTTATAAACGTTGGTCATTTCACTACGAAAAGTCACTTCACTATAAAACTGAATTGGCAAACGAAGTTACAGTCCACCTGATAGTAAGTGGCACTGCATTCAATGGATACCTGCAGGCAACTTCATATAAAGAAGTATACAGGTACGTTGTCACCTTTGAGGACTAAGTTGGAGTGCCTCATAGCCTGCAATTATACTGACTCTATACCTGTCAGACCAGAACGCAGTAGCGCAAGCACTGTTGTAAGAGAGGGAGGACGGGCCATAAGGATGACAAAAGAGCAGATCGTCCACCTGATGCTAAGTGGATGCTGTGTCCCATAGATATATATTTCTTTTGTTCCCCTCGTTTTTTTAAAAAACGTCACCCCCACACTAGGATTTTCTCCTGTACCGTGGAGGCAGTTTACAAACATAAATATCACAAGGACAAACATCCAGACCCGGAACAATTATTTATAGACCATACAAATACTTGTTCCGTGCGGGATTCGACCCCCCCCCCCCCCCCCGGCGCTGCAATTCATTGCTAAGCCACTGCGCCACGGAACCGTCAGATCTCTATCTCTCATCAACATTTATTTTCAATTAAGAATCAATATGACGGTGAGTTGTCACCCCTGAGGACTAAGATGGAATGCCTTGTCTCCAGTAAAAAGGGTATCTGGTTCTCTACACTCACCATACGAAACACAACAGCATAAAGTTGCTATTTCACGTTGTAACCTGTAAGGAGAGCGTGGTGCTACCCCGGTCGAGACGATCCATTCGCGCTACAACCATAATATTTGTTTATTAACTTTTTTTAAAAAAAAGACGCCCGTTCTACGTCATTTAAACTGTAGTGAGTAGTGAAAGATGGTTTGTGTCGCCATTTTTCGCTCAAGGCAAACCACGCAAGGGCATTGTTCCACAGACTTACAGTTTAGTACATTGATCTTTATTATCGTATTTTTACTGTGCTGACTAAGGATGTGAAGATTTATTTTAAAAAAAAGAAATGCAAGCATACGATTCAACTGGTGGTAAGTGATCATCGTGACCCATAAAAATCTGCAACACTAATGAATTTGCAGGAGCATTGCCAGCATTTTAAAAAGAAGTACCTTCTATTTTGAAAGTTTCCTTTTTATATAGAAATAAGATGACCAACGAGCACACAGTCCTTCTGATGGTAAAATGATGCTGTGGCTCATAGACATCTACATCTAATCTCATATATAATTAAAAATAAAACTTCAGATGTGTCGTCACCACTGAGGACTAAGATGCAATGCCTCGTTTCCAGTAAAAAGGGTCTCCGATTCTCTACAACCACCATACGAAACATATAGCATTAACCGAATTGAGTCGAACCGATCAATTTGTGCTCCTACTATAATATAGCTGCAGCGTGGCTCTACCACGTTTAATAATACAGTACAGTAAATTGTCACAATATGGTCGTGCATGGCAGAAATTCCTTGTAAAACGCGTTATAGTGAACTGCAAGCCATCGAGATGATGTATATAGAATTTCGAGTTCTGTCGCGGTGTACAATGGTGATGTTAAGCAGCTGGAACTAATCCGAATAATTCCTTTGAGCACTCCACGTGGTATATGCGATAGAAGGTGGACAGAGATGCAACGTCACTTCGCAAGGCCAGTGAATCACGCCGATTGGAAAGAACGTTGTCGAAGAATCCATTTAAGTAATGAGATTTCTATGTTATTTTTAGACGGCTTTGAAAAAGGAGGACGTTTTTAATTCGAGTGTAATTTGTATGTGTGTCACGCGATAATATCGTCTGCTATATCGCCTTATCGTCTTCTATACATTTAGAGAAAATATTTCACTCGTAAGGGTGGAATAACAGGGGATGATATTCTTAATATATTTGACGACATTCTAGATGTTATCTTGAAGTTGTGATGTTGCTTAGTTCATTATGCTGCTATTTATCGGAATCAAGAGGCTATTAAGACGACACCGCGAAAAAATGCACCTCCTTTCATCGCATAGTATAGGAGTATGACACGACTAACGAAACTGGAATTTTGATATAGGTAAATTCATGTCTTTATCTTGAATTTGGTTGCTCAAAAACACGATTGTAAAATTTTCACGCGATCATAATTATTTGCGAAAACACCTCTAAAAAATCACTATAGTTGAAATTACAACGAAATTACTTAATCTATATGCTTGGAAACCACTCAAATACATTCATAACATCAATATTCATAATTTACTTGCTCATTATTCTGATTACTGAAATCAATATTTTTTTTAAATATTTTAAGATTCTAAGCTATTTCTAACCGCTCTTAGTCGTCGCGGGCGCTACGCAATTTTAGACCTTATTTCGGCGTTTATGAAGTTTTTATAGAAATTATGTTTCACTCTGGTTAGTCCGGCGATAGCCCGCTTCAACGGTTTTCGATGTGTCGCCTTAAAGTAGGTATAGTCGCATGTACATTGTTAATGTGGTGGCATTTAAATGAAAAAGTTTATTGTCGATTCCTCTCTGAGAAAGCCTTTGTCTTGCTAACCGTTGTAAATTTTGTCGTTTTTTTAATTGTTTGTGTTATTACCAAGAAGATGCTGCTGCCCATTTCATTTGTCATTTCCCTCTATCACATTTTTAAGAAGGAGAAACAAAAACTTTTTTATTCAATATAGAATATAAATAATACTTATTAAAGGTCAATTTTTTGTTTAATTACCACTAGTTCGGAAAAACCTCTGTCCTGGGAAGAACGAGCAAGAAACCCAGCGGGACTTTTTTTTTAAAAATATAACAGATTACAATCACGTATGTTACACAATTAACAATACAAAACAAATCAGAAATAGCTTGGTAGCGATCACCTCATTCCCAGGGGTTATTATCATCCATAAATTCCTTAATATTATAATAATCCTTTTTATACAAACTTAATTTAATAAAGTTTTTGAACTTAAGCAGGTCAGATATTGTATTCTCAGGGATTTTGTTGAACCCCAAGAATGAATTAATGACTCGGTGGAGTCGAGTTACAGATAAGAGTACAACTAACTTGTGTTTGTTCCTAGTATTTACATAATAATAAATATCCCTTATTTTTGTAAAACTACTTTTATTTTTGTGTACGTACATTATACCCTTTACTAAATGTATTGATAGGCCAAAGTTAATATATTAATTTCCTTAAAATTTTACTCGAGACTTTATTTATTTTATATTATACGAGACTCTCTAGCTTTTAAATCATAGATTGCTCTCATGTCTCTCTTCTGTAAAACAAATATAATTTCAGTGTCAGTCGCGTGTCCCCATAGCAAAATTACGTACTTTAAGAAAGTAAAACATTCTTTCGCACACAGTGTGCGCTAACATTATTATTTTAAATAAATAAATATATTTGCTTTATCCAACGTCTGTAGCTTTCATTTAGAACAATACCTACGGAATGATAAGGAGTAGTGGGTGCTAAACCTATTCCTCCAATGTCCTGTAGGAGTGCACAGGACTACATTTTATGATAAATCTTCACTGTTCTTGGAGTAAGACTAGAACTCCTTACCACAGTCGATTAAAAGTGCTCAATCCTTGTTTGTTCAAGGGACAGGTTAAGAAACACTATTTGTCTCTCTAACTTCTCTATTTCTCCTGTGTTTTCAACAGAATTTTTTTTCCTTTTAATTCGAAAATTAAAAAAGTGTCATCAGCAAATAATCATATAATATCATGGTTATCCCCTACTATGTAAGGTAAGCCATTAATATATACAAGAAACAGAAAAGGGCCGAGAATTGAGCCCTGAGGCAAGCCCATTTGTGCCATCGACCCCCGTACTATTAATGACAACTTTTTGCGTTCTGTTGCTTAAATATTAAATAATTTATTTAAGAGCATCACTTCTTACACCGTAGTGTTCAAGTTTTGTTTATGGTCACTAATTGACCTAAAGTATCGTTGGTCTTTTTAGTGCATAAATTGGTATCCTTTCTTATTTTAGTATACCTACCCGTTAATCTTTTTCTTATTTTTATTTAATTCTTTTTCTGGGTTATCTGGAAGAGATTGCTGGGTAGCAATAAAACCGTCTTTTGTTTTATCCTCAATATTTCTTTATTTTTGTTATATTCATCTTTCCTTGGAGTACAATAAAGATATTGTATTGTATTGAATATCGCAATAGAATATTTTCTTTGGTGTATGTTTTCCTTGTTTTTATTTAAATTACATATATAGTTTACCTTAACTTTCCTTTATCTCCGAACACGAGGTTAAAGCCGTCATTTAATATTGATATTCGAGGGTTCCTTAAGCCTTACTTTGCTAACAAGTCTCAAGGTAATGATTTCTTATGTTTACGCGAACACTTACACATTTAAATGAAATTGGGTTGGGATTTTATTCTTCTTTAAATTTTAATTAAATCCCAACCCAAACATATAACAGGAAGACTTCATGATACTGTAAGCTCATTCAGCGTATATCGAAAAAATTAATACATTTAAACTGAGGGTAGCTGCAAAGTTGACCACTTTGACATCGAGACGTCGAACACCTCAGGCCACCGTGACCATAGGTGCTGTAAAGTAGACGAAAGTGTTTGTGAACGTTTTTATGAATTACAGTCGAATTTTGACCACTGGACGACCTTTAGTATATAGTATTACGTTAAATTTAACAAACCTAAAGATTTAGTATCTATATTTTTTTGTATAAATGTAAGAAAAACTGTTCAAATTACTGGCCATTGTAATCCCAAGTGTTTACAAACCACAGGGCTGCGTAACGTAGTGCGGTTGGTACTCACCACTGTATTCCACGGGCTTGTTCTCCACCAGTTTGAAGGTGAAGGGTATGTGCACGCGCTGCATGAGCAGTCGCGGAGGCTGCATGCTGCGCGCCCACGTCTCCTCGCGACCCTCGCCCACTATGCCGATCACTTCCATGTTCCTGGAGACGAGAGGACCGTTAATACAGCAGTTGTTAAAGGAGTACAAAGCGAAAAAAATATGTATAAACGCGCGTGTACGTGGTTAGGCCACTCTAGCTATTTTTTTTACTTGGTAGAGCCACTCTCTAGCTAAATTATGGCTGCGACATGAATACGTCAGCTAGACCAGGCAATGACCACACTCTCACAGTATACAAGCGTAAACAAATGAAGGGCACAGGATAAGAAGGAGCTCATTAACATTTTCATTGTTTCGAGTAATTAAAGAATTAAACCTAAAATTTTAATTTCTACACTTACAACTCTACTAGAATATGATTTGTACACATATAAAAAAGGAACAGTGTCTATTTTTATATTATATTGTGTTTTTAAAAGATTGGGTTGGTAAATAAATAATAGTTTGTAATTTAATTACCTAACTCCCAAATGTAATTGGCAAGAAGGTGCTCATTGTCAGAGATCACAATGATCTCCTTTTTACATTTTACAAATTAATTAGTGATCATAAACAATGTCTAATTACATAAACACATTAATGAAATAAAATACATGTTAATTCGGTTTAAAGATCTTTATTTCTCAATAAGACAATCGTCACTTACATGAACAGAATAGAATAGAATAGAATAATTTTTTATTCAATATCGATTATTACATAATTCTTATTGAAAGTCATTTTTTATCTACCACTAGTTCGGAAAATACCTCTGTCCTGGGAAGAACCAGCAAGAAACCCAGCGGGACTTTTTTTTTCAAACATAATTTCGTTTATACAATTTTTAAATAATTTTTCATAGAACCAGCATGGTGGCGATCACCTTATTCCCAGTGGTTATTTTCATTCATGTATTCCTTGATATTATAATAACCCTTTTTGTATACTTTTTCTTTGATAAAACTTTTAAACTTGTTTATTGACAAACTTTGAACATGTTCTGGGATTTTGTTGAAGCGTATACATTACCCCATAAATGAATTACTGATTCTGTGGAGTCTAGTAACTGGTATTACAAGCTTATGTTTGTTCCTAGTGTTTAAAGTATGCACATCCTTATTCTTATTAAAGCTATTTGTTTTTATTATGTTTTTATGTACATAGATTACATTTTCAGAAATATATTGCGATGCCAAAGTTAATATGTTTATTTCTTTAAATTTTAGTCTGAGGGACTCTTTACAATTTAAGTTGTAAATCGCCCGAACGGCTCTCTTTTGCAAAACAAATATAGCTTCAATATCATGAGAACAATAATTATATAAACATAGTAATAAAAATTTGTAATGCAGGTATAAATAAATAAATAAAACTCTGTTGGATGGCACTTTTAAGAAGCGTTGTTGCTTACTTGAATTATAAGGTGGTGGTCCAAGTTAAATAATGTGTTTCGCTTTTATTTAATAATGATATAGATTAAGTACTTAGCTGTTGTGAGCATAGGTAGGCAAGTAACTTCTGTTTGAAAGCATTCAAAGATTTCACTTCCTTTACAAATTAAGGTTGTTTGCTGTATAACTGTGCTCCCTTACACGTTATATTATTTTTACCATAGTTTGTTCTTATAAACGGTAATACAAAGTGACTAGTTCGGCGTGTTATGTATTTGTTTGTTTGCTTCTTTGTTAAAAATGTGAGTTGTGAGTGAATAAATTTATGTTTTATTTTGTATATTAGTATGCATGTGCTATATATATAAAGCTGAGTAACGTTCAAAAGTTTAGTTTCTTTATATATTGTTTTAGTTGGTGTCAAAAAGTCATAGTTATACAAAATTTTTATGATACGATTTATAGCACTTGGATAGGTTTAAGATTGGTTTTAGCCCCATACCTCTACAAGGTAAAGTAAGTGAGGTTTTACTAAAGCATTATATATTAGGATTCGGGCTTTTTTCGGAATACATCGAACTATTTTGTGCAGGCGGCCAACGAGAGAGGAAAGTTTATTTTTAATGTGTGTGAGATGTGCAATCCAAGTTAAATTACTGTCGAGAATAAGTCCAAGGTATTTTTCTTGATTTTTTCTTTGTAACATTTCTCCGTTTATTGACAAAGTGAAGTGGTTAGGGAGTTTTTTTGTTCTTGGCGCTGAAAACTATATATGAGGTCTTGGCTATACTGATAGTTAAGAGATTATACTGAAACCATTGATGCAGTAAGTTTAAGTCTTCTTGCGCTAGTGTTATGATATGATCGATATTGTGTCCAAAATAGAATAAACACGTATCATCTGCGTAAAGGGATATTTGACCTTGTAAGCCTGCTTGGTTTATGTTATTGATGTACACAAGGAATAGCAATGGACCGAGTATAGAACCCTGAGGCACGCCACACGTTAGAAGTTTGGGACTAATTAGTATGAAATTTATTTGTGGGGTAAGTTCGAGTATATATTCAGGTAAAATTAATTTTAAAGATGACCAAAGAACCGGGGCCCCGCAAACAGCAGTAACGGCAGAAAATGTATGGACTACTAAAATGTAGGTGCGAGAAGACCCACGAATCACATATACGGATATCGATAAGATTGTAGGCATTAGTTCGGAGAGCATTCATACCATCCTACATCAACATCTTGGAGTGAGGAAGCTTTGTTGTCGATGGATCCCTCGTTTGCTCTCCGAACGCGAAAAACAGACTCCTGTCGATTGTGTCATGAAATGCGTCTACGTTTTGAAAACGGGGCATCTAGGTGTGTTTCAGAAATCGTTACTGGTGACGAGACATGGATCTATCAATATGATCCGAAAAATAAAAGGCAATCATCGGTATGGGTCTACTCAGAAGGACAGTTACTAACAAAACTGCAACAACCTCGCAACATCGGCAAAAAAAATTGGAATAGATTTTTTTCGCGGAGCGGACATTTGTCGACGTAAATGCTGGAAAATTGTAGGTCAGTTAACTCTGAATGGTATACTACAGTTTCATTACCCAAAGCTTTTCAAGCTGTGCGGGAGAGAAGACCAAAGACTGGGCTTCGGGGAATCAAGCTGCATCACGATAACCCCTCTTCACGTACCTCCCTTAGAACAAAAGCATTTATTGAGGAATCTGGTGTTGAAACTCTAAGTCACCCACCCTACAGCCCTGACATAGCTCCTTGTGTTTCTTTTTGTTCCCAAGAGTCAAAGAAAAAATAAAAGTGAAGTTTTTTTCAAGTGCCGAAGAAGCCGTGGTTGCCTACGAAGAAGCGATTTCCGACCAGTCAGATCAAGACTGGCAAAAGTGTTTCCAGAGTTGGCTTAGGCGAATGGAACTTTGTATAGAGCATGATGGAGAATATTCTAAAAAGATGTAAAATAAATATTAATAGTATCTAGAATACTTTTCGTATATCTTAAAACTTATTGAGGGTCCTACGTGTGTCTCACAGAATACCAGCGTAAAATAGCAGCTTAACGCTGCTGTGTTTCGTATGGTGAGTGTAGAGAACCGGAGACCCTTTTTACTGGCAAAGAGGCATTCCATCTTAGTCCTCACGGGTGATAACGCATCTGCATCTTGAGTCTTTATTGAGGATAGATGTAGATGTCTATGGGTCACAGTAACCACTTACCATCAGGTGGACTGTGTGCTCGTTTGTCACCCGATCCTATAAAAAAAAACGTATTATAGTCCATTTTGATATAAATAAGCAAAAACTTGAAACTGAAAACCTAACGTACACTAAAGGAGTCGTAAAATTTATGCAAGGAAGCTTATCTGGCAGCTGTCACTTGTATGACAAAATAATACAGATGGCCGACTATGAGCGCGTTTTCAGTTACAATCGCTGCGATCAGCCCGTTCTAGCGTGGTTTCATAGACAATGGGCACCTTTCTACTCGGCATGGAATGCAATGAGCGCGTTTTATCCTAAAGTAGATTTTTTTGCCAATTAACTTTACACAAAATCAGCGCCTTTTATAGTGTTTAAAATAACGTGCTCTGATTGGCCATAGAAAATGAAGTAAAATGGTATAGTTCATTCCAAAAACGTAAAATTGTCAATGAGCTCCTTTTTTCCATGTGCCCTTCAAATGGTAAAATTAAAAATGTTGTACAACCGACTTCAATATAAATAAAATGAGAACATCATCAATTTAGTCGAAGTCAATTCGATACGCATTATTAACCGATTCGTTGCGGCACCAATTTTCGACAACAAATATTTCATGACACGCCGGGCGTGTCAAGCGCCACAGACAAGTGTTTTTAGTGGGTAACTACGTGTTTTTTTACGCGTTTTCTTTGAAATTGAGAGAAAGTTACTTTTTTATGAAGAGATTACAAACCTTTTGTACTATTTTTTGTTGTTATTAAAATCATTTATATAAGTAGGTACAGCTAAATCACCCTGGAAACCTTGGTTTTTATTAAATTAAATTTTCACCTAATAATAACATTTGTAAATATCAAACAATGAAGAACCTTACTTTAATTAGAAAAAAAAAAGGTATATCATTCATTGATATTTACAAATGTTAAATATTATTTAATGTTATACAAATGTAAAAGTAAAGTCGATCTGAAAACGTCTAATTAGTAAGAATAGCAAAAAAGTGTTTTCAAAATGAAAAAAACGCCGGCGCTATACGGCGGCGGATTGACAAAAGACTATTTATTAGCGAACTTTTTTTATGCATGAACGGTTTCGAACTGTTTCAAGCAAAAATAAACCTTATACCATATCACAAGAGCACATGGTACTTAGTAGGTCTATTCGGCCATATGATAGTAATAAGACGGCAGTTCAACCATTTTAAGCAAAATTAAACAATAAGACAAACGCATTGTTTTTTTTTTTAACAGGAGACTTGTTTTCCAGAAATTTATTTACAACTTGAGTTTGTGAGCGATCGCCACGAGTGCTATTATTTGTTACTTATTAGACAATTTTTCCATAACATGATTTAAAACCCACAAAGTAAAAATAGTACCATGTACACGTTAAAAAAAGGTTGTCAACCCCAAAAAATTTCAAATTTTCAAAATATCCAGAAACGAAGCTACATGC